ATGTGCACCTTAATGCATTATTAATTGTTTCAAATTAATGCAGCGAACGCTTGGCTGCCATTGCCGCTGCCGCTGCTGTTGCTGTTGCCACTGCCTGAGCGCACTTTGTATGGCGTCAGTGTGGAAAAAAGTTAATTGCTTTACCATTTTATTAAAATTGAATTACGAGACAAGTGATGCTGCCTGAGTCTCCTTGTCTGCCTGGTTGCCAGGTTGCGTTCTACACAGACATTTTGCCAGGGGTAGAAATGAACGTCTCGCTCACGACTTGCGGTGTCAGAGAAGAGGGATAAATAAATTATAAGATAACTGAATATTAACTGAGAAAAGTGTGTAAAGATGCAATGCTAAAAAGTTTTCCTTCCAACATTTTAGTTTTGGTTGCATTTTTTAAAACTTCTTCCAAAATTCAAGCGAGTAAGTCGATTATAAATGTATAAATAATATAAAAACACAAACAGGCCTAATGTATCGAGGAATAACTATAAATATTTTACCCCAATCAATTAAATGTATATGCACATCGGACTAAAATTGAGAACAGTTATAGATATAGAAAATAATGTCTAGCCAGTTTAGATGAGTGGTGGGTGGCGTGGGCCTGGGGATAGAATAAAAAATACAAAATAAAATGACTGTTCGTGAACGCAACCTCTGTCCCCCATTTTTGTCACGCGTCCATCTCAAATGAAGCTGCGTTAGTTTACCGTTTTAGTCGCAGCCGAAGGCGCATTCTGGCAAATGTCATTTTGCACACTTGACAGTCGGATGCCTGCTCCAACCAGCAGCCCCACTTGCCACAATGTGGCACGTCAACCAATATATTTCTTATTAAATTGTTGCAGGCAACGTGTGCGAGTTGGTGCCACTGCCGCTGCCGCTGCCGCTTCCGCTACTAATCCTGCTGCTGTTGTCGCCTGACAGGTTTGCAATTTAGTTGCAAATCGGGAGCAAGTGCAGTTGAAAGTGACGCAAGCACGGCGACAAGTTGACTGAAATGGCAGCATTGGACCTACTGTTCTCTCGAGTAGGGTTAAAATGAAGTTGGCTAAGTAAACGAAAGAGCGCTATGTGGAAAGTGCTCCCAGTTGGCTTTGAGTTTTTATTATAAGCTTTGGGTAACAACAACCCACAGCGACCACGAAAATATAGCACAGAGTGGGCAACAAGTGAGCCCACAAGGGGAATACGAAGGTTGAACACCGACGCACAAGAAGGACACTTGACAGAAACAAAAGCTGCCTTTGCTATTTGCTTAATTAAATACAGAATGAGGAGGCAGCGAAATGGATATTGCCAAAGCGAAATAATGGACGAAATAACCGAGATACCAAAAAGCTTCCGTTGGCCAGCGAACGAGCTGCATGTACTCGTACCCGTATTTGATTACAAAGCATTAATAAGAGATGCGCCAGGATGGCAGCCCAACTGATTAAACCCCAACTGACAAAGAAGCCACAACCTAAATCGCCGAGCTGTTGAAAAGCGCAAAAGTAAAGGAAGTAGAAATAATAAGAAATAATAAACCGGAAAAGTTTCATGAATGTAAAAACAACAACAGCAACGACAACACAAACGAAAACACGAAAACGTTAGCTATGAATTGAGGTAAATCAGCTGGTCGTGGTTCCTCGCCACAAGCTGGGGGCCCTGCCCAAGCTGTAATTAATGAGCTAGCTGAAAGTTGCGATGAGCAAATTAACTTGAACTGTTGGATGAGGTCGAGGGTCCGAGTTCGAGCGCAATTAAAGCAACGGATTTTCTTGTACCCCTGCAACGTTGTCTTTATTTGCTTTGGCAACATCGGCAACTGCACGCCAATGAAGACAACAACATCGCTGGCAAAGTGGAAAGCCGTAGCATACTTCATGCCACTGGCATGCTTTGTCAGAAATTGGCAGGAAATAAAGTTCTTTCAGTCAGCTTCAAGTATTGTCATTTTAAATTTGTCCTGCTTTGTAAATATCATGCAGTGGTCAAAGGTGTTTGTCTCAAGCTTGACGCGATGGAAAATTGGGGTGGCGGCTAGCTCCAGCTCCCCAGGTGTCTCGGGCTGAGCTGTGACCTTTTTCGGTTGATTTCAAGTGCCTCACTGAAGCAGACTGGGTATAAGCTTGCCACAATGGCCTCGCCTTGGCACACACAACTTTTCAAGTTAATTATTAAGTAGATACACGAATTTATTGTTGGATCTGCTTCGCTTGCCTCACTTAGCCGCCTTAGCTTTCTTTTTTCCCGTCTCCTCGCACGCCTTTTTGTTTGTGTGCGGTGAGGTGTAAATGTGCGGATTAAGTGTTTCGCTGTCAGCTTGGCGTGTCTATTCTAGATACGGATAGATGTACGAGTATGGGCAGAAGCAGCCGCAATGTGTTTGTGTGGGCTGGCGAAATTTACGCCTCGCATAAAGTTGTAAAACTTGGCTAATTTGCTCAAGGGAGTTCGCTCCTGGCCAGGTGCACGGGTCGTATTGAAATATTTATGAGATTTTGTTTTCGGCCTGTTACAGAAAGCACAACATTAAGATTTAAAGCAGGATGTAAAGCGATATCAGCCCTACTCAAGCTTCGAGTTAAAGTTGAACGTTCAGCCTTAGTTGGCAAGTTTTGTATGCACACAAAACCCAATAGTGACCGCAGAATGAAAGGATGCAAGATGAAAAGTATTTCTTTATAGCCGTCTTCACACTTGACCCAAGTTTGTACAGAGATGCACAGAGTACTAGGCGAAAGCAAAGTCGACTAAGCAATGCCTGCCATTCTCTAGCCAGTTTTAAAGTGAATTGAAAACATATCTACACATTTTATAATGCTCTTATCTAACATCTGCTTTACAAGTATATACATATCGAATAATAAATGCGAGTATATTAGCAAAAGCAATTCCCTGTATTATTTTTTCTTTTTTAACGGTTCTATAATAATGTCACAGTCAAAATTCTGGGAGCTAAAGATAGAAATTGTCGGTACTCTTTAAATTTGATGCCAACAATGACAATATAAAATATCGATTTAATATGTTAATTTCCTTATGGACTGACAATCAGTTCAGTTCATTAGGCTTTATATCTTTGAATCATTAAATTGCAATACCCCAGTATACTCTTTCATCAAATCATAAAGAAAAAGTTCAGTTCAACTGCTGTGCAAAAGTCAAACCAAACGGTTCACCACTTCTGCTGGCAACCCAACAGCTTGGCCATCTTTGGCACTTTCCCCTCGTCTGAGCTAACGAATGCGGCAAAAAAGAAGAGGAGGCAAGGCAGTGAAAGCCATTGGAATTCATATTTTCAATGCAAACAAAAAGGGCCGGACATGAATCCATAACGAATGCCTAAGCCATATTGATTGTGCGGGTCGGGAGCAAGGCGAAGGCAACAACGGCGAGAGATTGCAACAAAAGGACGTGGCAACGTGCAAGGACAGGCATTTTTAAATTGATGCCAGCCGCTGCAAGTGGAATTCCTCAAAGCGCCCCAAAGTATGCAATAAAAAGTGAACGCAGCGCTGGGACACGGCTACAAGCAGCAGCGAGGAAATCAAACTTCAGTGATTGACTTCGGGTAGCCGGTTGGCACGGCGTTCGCATGCCAGTGACGTAAGCCGATTATGGCCACTGACCACCGTACACCGTACACAAGCACACACATTGCTGTCGTGGGTATTTTCGTTTTTAATTGAATTTGTGTATTGTAGAGATGATAGCGAGGAGTGCAGCTTCATTAAAACCCACCTTCTGCAGTAGCCGGACTTTAAAATGACGCTATTGTGTTTTGAGTTGAGAAGGGTTAAAGGCATGTACACACACACCAGCGCACCTAACACACAAATGAATATCAATGAACTGTCATAAAGCCTCACAAGCAGCCGCACACGCACACGCACTCGCACTCGCACACAGTGTGGCTGGCAGAGCTGACACGTACACAAACATTTAACCTTTGGCACGAACAACAACAACAACAACAGCTTCAGTTCACACTTGGCGCAAGCGTCTCATGTTATCAGAGTGTGTGTGTGTGTGTGTTTGTGCATGTGTTTGGGAACTGCCAATGACATGTGATTTCAACTAATGGTAGTTTGGGGGCGTATTTCAATGTGGGCAATACAAACAACAACAAACAACAAACAACAAGCGGCAGCAGCAGCAACAACAAAAACAATGAAATAACGACAGCATTCGTTGACATTCGGGCATATAACAAGCTTAAACTTTAATGAAATTTCCATGTAGAGAAAGTTTTATGGCACACACACAGACACACACACACAGACACAGACACACACACACACACACAGACAGGGAGATCCCCAAGTAAGCCATTTTGCAGCCCCGTACCACATGGAGTATGATTAATGTAAGCTTATGACATGGATAAGCTTGCCGCGCTTTGCGTTGCTCTGGGTGATGTGCTTAGCTGTCAATTAACTTTGTCAAATATTCAAAACAAAACCAAATTGGATTGCTGTTATATACACAACACCCACGCGCACGCCTACACACACACACACACACACACACACACACACACAGTCACACACACAGAGACATACCGCACACTCCTAATCTATTTGCTTATATGCATGCTTGACTGCCAGCCAAAGCCATCCACACACATACCTAGCTAGATATATGTAAGTTTGTATGAATTTTCATTTTGCACTTCGTACTCTCACAACTAAAAATGCTGTTTGTATCGCTCTGCCAGCCCCCCTCCCCACCCCTGACACCTGCCCAGACGTGCCCGGCTTGTAAGCAAGTATCGTCGCCAGGCTGTTTGTCGTTATTGCGGTGTCAATATGTATTTTTGATTAGGTATCTGTATGCGGGTATGTATACGAGTGCGAGGATGTCCTTTTATGTGTGCATGTGAGAGAGGGAATTTGAATTTTTAGAGTGTGTGCTTGTTTAAATTAAAGCATCAACTTTAATCAGTTGATTGGTTTGAATTCCACTTGGTCTGCTCCTCTTATCGTAAATGTTTATTCATATTTCGTACTTACCGATATGTAAGGAGTTCCGTTAGCTGAGGGCATGTCAACTGTAAAGAGAATGAAGGCATTTCTTGGTTAGTTTTGGATGGGACATACTCGTAAATAAATTAATGGGAATTCCATTGACATTTTTTACTGTACAAAGTGCTTCACTAAAAGCTAATTGCTTCTCACCTAGTATTTATATGAATAACGATTTTATTCATACCATACTATATTCTCACTATTCAATAGCATGCTGCATTAATGTCAAATGCATGACATCAATGGTTTGCATTACAAGCATGCTTGATGCATTGAGTGCTGCGCATATACATGTGCTAATGGTCATCAACACACACACACACACACACACACACACTCACTCACACATTCACAGAGAGAGCTGTGCGACGTGCACCGATGAAATATTGAAAAGCCAGCGTTGAACCTGCGACAAACCCTTGTGACCTTTCCATTCAATGAATTGATTGATTGATTGAGCTGCCAAGCGTTGGAAAGCAGCGAGCGTGGATCGTGTTTGCGCCCTTATACACATACTACTTATATACATGTACTCGTATCATATATGCTCTTAAGCACAAATGCAGGCCTATGCTTGTGAATTACGAATTTCATAGCATACTTTTCAGCGCGCACCGCATTGGTGGCAAACCGTATCTCAGTTACTGTGTCTCTATGTGCCTGTACAACAACTACTTTTGACTTTAAAGAGTCAGTCACACTGGTTGAAAAAATGAACTGGGAGTCGTACAATTTACATAGCAGTGAGCTAAACACAAAGACAGTCAAAGACTAAATAAAATGCATCCACCAACAGAAGCCAAAACAATAAAAGCACAAAGACAAAGCCTAACCTCACACACACACACACACAAAATATATTTGTATATACTATATACTTTGCAAAATAGACAACAATATGATTTTTTGGACCATGAAAGGGCAGACGACTATAAAAGTTATCAGTTGGCTTGGGACAAAGGGCAAGAGACAACATGCAGCAGACTGCCTGACTGACTGACTGGCTGCTAATAAAACTGACAATAGAAGCCAGGGAATTGCGAACTGTACATATACGTGTATAGTACAAATATGTGTTAGTGTGCTTGTATGCGGGGTTGACGACAAGTCAAGGCAACAAATGCGCCAAAGTGCGGCAGCTTCAAGTGCGGTCTTTTGTATTGTCCGCCATCCCATTCGCCTTTCCCGCTTTGCCCGACAGCTTAATGATAATGGCCTGTCTTGCCTAGAAATTGCTATTGTTGTTTCAACCTCATGTCTGAGTAACTGTGGGCCGCCACAGGAAGCGCTGTTTCAAAGCGTTGTACAGTGGGTTAACTTTCCAAAGACAGACAGACGGGGCTTAGTTGACTCGCCCTGTCATGCTGATCAAGAATACGGTATATATACTTTGTGGGATCTGCCACGCCTCGTCACATGTAAAATAAATATAAATTTTATGCTCGCAAATGTTTGTTATTTGAATGCAAACAATGGCGTATATGTGGACCTTAATTCAGCTAAATTACTTAATTATTATTTAATTATTAAACTTATCAAATTAAGACTACATTAAATGTATCTAGTCCTGTATATTTGTATAATTGTTCCACATAAATGTATTGTAAGCGCTAGCTTGTTTGGGTTGTCTTCTTCTTTTTGTTGCAATGTTGGTTCTTTTTAAGATAACTTTTTTAAATCTTTTTAATTTTAAAACAATAACTGTTCTACTGTTGCAAATAAGAAACAAAATTATTAAAATTATATTCATTATATGAATATCAAAGCCGTTTGTTTCTAACAGTAATGTTCTGTCTATGAATTATATATTTCTTGATAAAATTAAAGCGTCTCACATGCTTCAACCCAAAAATAAATGATGCTCCACTGTCTGCTCTATGCAGCTAAAATGTGGCCTCTAATTAGCTTCGCAAATGTTATGCAAATTTTGATGCAGTCTCAATGATGCCAACGACACACATGTACATACATATCCATGTCCGTATGTTTATACTATGGTAAGTGTGGACGGTGAGCGCACTTGGCTTGATTTATTGCGTATACGCCGTGTACTGTCACTTGCAAACTGTGTGGCTAAGAAGCTGCCAACTCGCAAAGCCGCCCAAATTGCCAACGTCGGATATGCGAATAAGGTCATTAGGACAATGGCCAAACACCAACACCAACACCCACCCAGGCAGCAGCAACCACAATATAGCCGCCAACAATAACAAAAAATGTAATTTTGGCATTAAGTGTGCTTGCCAACATAAAATTACCTTGATTAGAAACTCAAATGCGCGCATTCCAAATAACAGCTGCACACTTACACGCATATACCCGCAACACACACAAACACACACACACACACGCGCGCGTACACCCAGATAAACACGGCGGCTGAAGCTGAAGGATTTGCACCTGTATATACAAGTATATGTACATATATCAGGCGACCTAAGCCCAAAACGACTTTGCCCTGCAAAATATATCAATGCACACCTGTGCCAAGGCAGTGTGCGGCGCCCCTCATGTGCCTGTGCAGATGTACGAGTGTGTGTGTGTGTGGCATGCCGTTCACACCCACAGAGCTTTGCAATACCTTGAAGCCCGAACCAAGCCATAATAAAAACCAAGAGGAAAAAGGTCACAACTGTTATTCTTGGCTTCGCGCCGACTACATACCCTCTACATACACTCTAAACGATTGATGCCGACAGATCCCTGTAACAAAGCATTTTATTGGATGATTGAAAAACTTTCTAACTGAGTTAGGAGTGACAAAAAACCTGACGACTAAAATAGTCACTCATGCAATCTGACTTATTAGCAGTCTTATCGAGTTATTTCAAGCGCATTTTATAAACTTGTTTGATTTGTTCTTTATGTGCGAGCACCGATATAAGACCGAAAATTAGGACCAAAATTTGGTGGCCATTTTGTAAGAAATTCTTAAATAAGAGTTTTTGTTTTTCCAATTATTTGAGTCGAAATACATTTCCTATGAAAGCCCGTGTTGCGTTGCAGACTGTTTTTAAGTTTAAACACAATCTACTCTTTCATCTAAAGTAGAGAGTGTAAACATGTAGATGTTGTTGCTGGAGTTGTTTTTGGGCGCACAGCCGTTGGCCAATTCAAGCGGTACAGTGGCGCATCAATTATGTGGTTGTGGGATTACGAGTATGTGTGCTTTAGCGCTAACTTATATGTTTGGCACACTAACAAAAAGCGCAGAGAACAAATTCGCAGCTACAATCTTAATCAAGGAAATTGCTGCAGCCTTTTAGGCGCAAATAACTGCGTACAGGCACGTTCATGATTGACTTGTTTGCATGTCTTTCTATTCATTATTGACAGGCTTTTAACGCTGTTAACTAAACCAATAGCAGCTAAAGCTTTCAAAGTTTTGATAGGGAAACTTACTGAGAACTCAACAACAGCACATTTCTGCAAATCACAAGAGCTGACCTGCAAAATGCAGCCATTAATGCCTCCAGAGTAGGAAGTCGGCTAGGCTTGTTGTTGTTGCGCAACTTTAGTGAAATAAAATTGGCACCCGCAGCAACTTCAACTACGATAGCACTACAGCAGCAGCAAACTTGGCTGATCTCGTGAAAATTGTAAATATTTTCATGCCGCTCCAATGTTATTAAAAAGTTAAGCCAACAAACTTGAAGTGTTTTAGAGTTGCGCTGCTCGCAGACAGACGTCACTGCAAATTTCGTATTCTGAACTAGATTTGTGGAACATAAAAGAGAAACTTTAGTGTGTCTTGTTTGGGCTTTATTGTTGGTAATAATTGCGAGGGGGTTTGCTTTGGAATTACCTACTAGACCCCACATTCAAATTTATTTTGCTACTTTTCGATCGAGATGCTGTGCGAGTTCTGCCTATCAACTCTTCAGTGAGGAGTGGTCGTTTAAATCTGCATTGAACTCTTAAGTATTCATTTTTCAAATTTTGTTATTCCATATGTAAATGTGCTGTAATTGTTCTTTTGAATATATCCTCTGATTGTTGTTTTAGTTCTCTTTTAAGAGCTCGAATCGTCCAGCTCATAATAGGATGGAGTATTCATGTTATGGGCACACAGGTGTCCAAACACACATATGTATGTTCGGGGAACCTTAGATTGCCTAACAACATCAAAAAGCAGCAACAACAACAACAACAACCCCAATAAATCACGCTGAGTCAACACATAATAATCAAGCGCCATGTATTCACATACGTCAACAACAACAATAATAACAGTGCGAGATGGTAGTGGGTGTGGGAGTCTGAAGAATTGACTTGCTTTGTCATTATATTCAAAACAGGCAGCACTTGTCATCAGCAGGCGCAAACAATCACTCATACATGTACGTAAATACACACATATAAATTCCCCATACGAGAGTGAATAATAAGCAGATGTATATGTGGGTGTGTGTGGGTGTGTAATGGTATGGTCTATGCGACGGAATCCTGTCTCGTCTTGTTTGCCGCCATCATTAGGTGCGCGACTGCTGCCATCGCTGTCGTCAAGAAAATGGTAGTTCGTTCTGGTGTCTGTTGCTGTTTTGCGACGCCGACTGTTCATTTGTTGTTGATTTCGTATGCTGCTTTTGACTTTAAGTTACTTGCAGGAATACACCTACAGATGGATAGAGGCAAGTACTTTGCACGTCTCATCGTTTCGTTTACCTTGCAACTTCGGCACGTCTCCGGCTTTTGTCAAGGGTGTGCATTGCTTCACCTTCATACTTTGACACCTCGAATGACTTTGACGAAAGTTTAATGCGCGCTCATGAAAAAGTGTTGCCTGCTTCCAGGCGTTGCTTAGCTCTGCAATAAACCTGCGCAATCGAGCTCAAGAAGTGCTGATGTGGATGCAAGCACATGTACGGAATATAATCTTCAGTGTTTTGATAGCTTCTGAAAGAGTTGGCAAGACACACATTCAAGATCCTGTTGTACCAGTAATATGCTCTCCATCAGTTTATTTGTGTATACATATATGCATTTATATATTCATGCACTCGATTTGGCTTCTGTTTCGAGT